TCTCCTGCCTTAGCCTCCCCAGCAGCTGGGACTACAGGTGCTTGCCCCCACGCCCAGCTAATTTTTGTATTTTTAGTAGAGATGAAGTTTCACCATGTTGGCCAGGCCTGGTCTCGAACGCCTGACCTCACACGATCTGCCCGCCGTGGCCTCCCAAAGTGCTGGAATTACACGCGTGAGCCACTATGCCCGGGCTTTTTCTGTTGTTGTTGTGGTTGTTGTTGTTGTTTTTGAGACAGAGTCTTGATCTGTCACCCAGGCTGGAACACAGTGGCTTGATCTCAGCTCACTGTAACCTCCACCTTTTGGGTTCAAGCAATTCTTCTGCCTCAGCCTCCTGAGTAGCTGGGATTACAGGTATGGGCCACCATGCCTGGCTAATATGGATGTCACATCGTTGAATGTCTGTATTTTGTAGTCTTCCCTTAAAGAGCATAGGTCTTTGTTGTACCAGGTTGTTAACTTATTTTTGGATTAGTTTGATGTTTTTGAAGCTAGTTTTTAAGCTTCGTTAAGCAGTTCTAGCGTGTACTTTACTCTAGATCTAGTTTAGACCTTTTAGTAAGGTTTATCTCTGCTGCAATTTCTCCTGAACATCTTGGGAGGTCACTAAGTTATTTCGACTCCAATCGGTCATAATTTGAATGTTTCCTAGCTCTGGGAATTGTTCAGTTACATCTCTTCAATTGTTCTTTGCTCAGTCTCCTGGAACTTAGCTCTACTTACAGCTTAATACTCAGGAAAGACTCAAGATCCTATGCAAATTTCTGAAGGTTTTTGCATACCTTCTTCCTTTTTGGAATTTTACACAGCAACTTCCAGCTGCCTCAGGTTCCATGAACTCCAATCTGTGTATCCTCAGCGAGATTGCCATGTTCTGATTTTGTGATCCAGTTTGCACCCCTAGGCAAAAAGCTAGGAAAATCGCAGAATTTACCTCATTTGTTTTCTTTCTGTCAATGATGTCAGTTCTGCACTGCCAGTTGTCCAATGTCTGAAAACAGCTGTTCTGTATGTTTTGTCTAGTTTCCTAGGTGTGTATGGCAGAAGGGTTAATCTGGTCCCTTTTAACTCCAACATGATTAGAAACAAAATCCTCTGTTTCACTGAAATTTGATTAGCATGTCAGTCTTTGAGCAACCGATCAACCTTACAAAATGGAGTTTGAAAAAAAAAAAAAAAGAAAAAAGAAAGGCTGGACGCAGTGGCTCACGCCTGTAATCCCAGCAGTTTGGGAGGCCGAGCAAGTGGATCACGAGGTCAGGAGTTTGAGACTAGCCTGATCAACATGGTGAAACCCTGTCTCTACTAAAAATACAAAAATTAGCTGGGCGTGGTGGTGGTCGCCTATAATCCCAGCTACTGAGGAGGCTGAGGCAGGAGAATTGCTTGAACCTGGGAGGTGGAGGTTGCAGTGAGCTGAGATCGCACCATTGCACTCCAGCCTGGGTGACAGAGCAAGTCTCCGTCTCGAAAAAGAGAAAAAAAGAAGCAAAAGAAGAACTTCAATGTAGAATTTCGGAATAATGGGCCAGGCGCGGTGGCACATGCCTGTGATCCCAGCAGTTTAGGAGGCTGAGGAAGGTGGATCACTTGAGGCCAGGAGTTTGAGACCAGCTTGGGCAACATGGCAAAACCCTTTCTCTACTAAAAATACAACAATTAGCTGGGCATGGTGGCATGGGCCTGTAGTCCCAGCTATTTGGGAGGCTGAGGCAGGAGAATCACTTGAACCTGGGAGGCGGGGGTTGCAGTGAGCTGAGATGGTGCCACTGCACTTCAGCCTGGATGACAAGAGCAAGACGGTTTTAAAAAAAATTTTTTTTTCAGAATAATAAGTTTTTTTTTTTTTTTTTTTTGAGACAAGGCCTTGCATTGTCACCCAGACTGGAGTATAGTGGTATGATCACGGCTCTCTGCAGCCTTGACCTCCTGGGCTCAAGTGATCCTCCCACCTCAGCCTCCCAAGTAGCCGAGAATACAGGTGTGCACCACTCCACCTGGCTAAATTTAAAAAAGACGTTTTGGAAAGGTGGTGTCTAACTATGTTTCCCAGGGTGGTCTCGACTTCTGGGCTCATGCAATTCTCCCACACTGGCCTCCCAAAGTGCTGGATTACAGGAGTGAGCTTCTGGGCCTAGCCAAATAATAAGCTTTGAAAGAATAAAATTCTATGCACCATGGTTATGGATGAATTTATTAAATGGCCCTGAGGTGCCTTTTATTTATTTATTTATTTATTTTTATTTTATGTTTTGAGACAGGATCTCACTCTGTTGCCCAGGCAGGAATGCAGTGGTGTGATCATGATTCACTGCAGCCTCCACCTCCCCAGGCTCAGGTGATTCTCCCACCTTAGCCTCTTGAGCAGCTGGGACATTAGGCAACATGCCACTTTGTCTGGCTAATTTTTGTATTTTTGTAGAGATGGGGTTTTGATATGTTGCCCATGCTGGTCTCGAATTCTTGGGCTCAAGCAATTCAACCGCATGATTTTAAAAATACTAACAGTGGACTGTCTGAGCTCAGGAGTTCAACACCAGCCTAGGCAACACGGTGAAACCCCATCTCTACTAAAATACAAAAAAATTAGCTGGGCATGGTGGCATGTGCCTGTCATCCCAGCTACTTGGGAGGCTGAGACAGGAGAGTTGCTTGAACCCAGGAGGTGGAAGTTGCAGTGAGCTGAGATTGAGCCACTGCACTCCAGCCTGGGTGACAGAGCGAGACTCTGTCTCAAGAACAACAACAAAAAACTAACAGCTTCTATTTTCTGTTCTTTTTTTTTTTTTTTGAGACAGAGTTTTCCTCTGTCGCCTATGCTGGAGTGCAGTGGTGCAATCTTGGCTCACTGCAACCTCTGCCTCCCTGGTTCAGGCAATTCTCGTGCTTCAGCCTCCCGAGTAGCTGCACAGCACCACACCGGCTAATTTTTGTACTTTTAGTAGAGACGAGGGTTTCACCAAGTTGGCCAGGATGGTCTCCAATTCCTTACCTCAAGAGATCCGCCTGCCTTGGGCTCCCAAAGTGCTGGGATTACAGGCGTGGAGTCATCGTGTCCACCCAAACAGCTTCTAAAATGGGACATTTAGTAGTGATTACTCCTTGGTTGTTTGGAGATTGTGACACTGTAAGTAAAAAGACCAGCCTTCTATTTAAGTGTCCTTTTCATACAGGAAAGATGAGAAGGTTGTTTCTCAGCAGCCACTATTTTTAGAATTTGAACTTTGGGAACACAATGATGGTTCTTCAAGGCAGCTAATCCCAGTCTCTTTTGTTCCAAGGAGGCTGAGGTGCACTCTTCTATAATTTCTGTATAAACCATACATAGCTTCAAGATGCCTTTAGTGTGGTAGGTCATACAAAGATAATTGAAAAGTTGAGTCTCATTATGCCAAATCTCCTCTCTCAAAGAGGGTTTCTCCTAGAACTAGTTCTTTTAGGAAATGAGATCTGTCTTCTTGTAGAAATCTGGGCAAAGGGGGAACTAAAGGGTTAGTACAAAAATCAAGTCGGGATTTGCCCTGGAATTAAAAATATCAAAATATTTAAAGCTCAGGACCTCTTCCATGTACATCACATTAAAAAAAAACTTTTTATTTGGAAATAATTTCAAGCTTACAGAACAGTTGCAAAAACAAGAATAGTACAAAGAACACTTGCATATACCCTTTATTCAGATTCACCTATTAACATCTGCTCAATTTGCTTTATTGTTTGCATTCTCTCTCCCTCTCCCCCTCCTCTCTCTTTCTCTAAAACCTAGCCCCAAATGTAACAGTGTCACTTCTGCTCCATTCCATCATCGAAGCAGTCATACAGTTCTGCCCACGCTCAAGGGATGGGAAATAATCTCCAGAAATATGTGTGTGTGTGTGCATATTTCTTTTTCTTTTTTTTTTTTTTTTTTTTTTTTGAGGCAGGGTCTGGCCCTGTCACCCAGGCTGGAGTGCAGTGGTGTGACTGCGGCTCACTGTGGCCTTGACTTCCCAAGCTCAAGCAATCTCTTACTTCAGCTGCCCAAGTAGCTGGGACCCACCGGTGTGTGCCACCATGCCTGGCTAATTTTTTAAGTTTTTGTAGAAACAGAATCTCACTATGTTACCCAGGTTGGTCTTGAACTTCTGGGCTCAATCAATACTCCCGCCTTGGCCTCCCAAAGTGCTGGGATTACAGGTGGGAGCCACGGCTCCTGGCCCATGTTTCTATATGTATATAGTCTTCAAATATATATGTGTGAAAAAAATATAGTTTGTTTGTCCCTGAACCATTTAAAAGTAAGTTCAATACATCATGACCCCCTTCTCTTAAATAAACTCAGTGTATACTAAGAGCAGATATTCAAGTCAAAAGGCACTGTATTCGAGGATCCAGACCTGAGGAGCCTTAGTCCCCCTGGACCTGATCTAGCTGATGAGATCCTATATCTCAAGGCGGTTTTAGAAGTGGTGTATGCATCTTACAAGTGGGAGGAATCTAAATTGTAACCCGAGGGCAGACTGTGGCATGACAACATTTCTGGAGATTATTTCGCCTCCCCTTAAACCTGGGCAGAACTTTGTGGCTACTTCAATGACTAAAATGCAGCAGAAGTGACACTGCATTTACATCTGAGGCTAGGTCATAAAAGAGTTACAGCTTGGCTGGGCATGGTGGCTCATGCCTGTAATCCCAGCACTTTGGGAGGCCGAGGCTGGCAGATCACGAGGTCAAGAGATCGAGACCATCCTGGTCAACATGGTGAAGTGCTGTCTCTACTAAAATACAAAAATTAACTGGGCGTGGTGGTGCGTGCCTGTAGTCCCAGCTACTCGGGAGGCTGAGGCAGGAGAATCGCTTGAACCCGGGAGGTGGAGGTTGCAGTGAGCCAAGAGTGTGCCACTGCACTCCAGCCTGGCAACAGAGTGAGACTCCATCTCAAAAAAAAAAAAAAAAAAAAGAGAGGTATAGCTTACCAGCCCACTACACCAGCCCCCTTTTCTCTCCTCCTTTCTTTTCAGGGTGCTCACCTTTGGAACCTAACCACAGTGTTGTGAGGAAAGAGGAAGCACAATGGGCTTAGCTGTTTTCACTGATGGCTCCAGCTAAGGCCTTAGCTGACAACCAGCATCAACTGGCAGACATGTCATTGAGGAAGCCTTCAGAGGATTCCAGTCCCTAGCTTTCAGCCCACTGCAGCTGACACTAAATGGAGTACAGATTACTCTCCCCACTGAGCTTTGCTCATTGCAGTTTCATAAGCAAAATAAATGTCATTGTTTTATGCTACTCAGTGTTTGCAGTAATTTCTTCTTCTTTTTTTTTCTGAGACAGAGTTTTGTTCTTGTTACCCAGGCTGGAGTGCAATGGTGTGATCTCAGCTCACCATGACCTCTGCCTCCTGGGTTCAAGCAATTCTCCTGCCTCAACCTCCCGAGTAGCTGGGATTACAGGCATGTACCACCACACCTGGCTAATTTTGTATTTTTTTTTAGTAGAGACGGGGTTTCTCCATGTTGGTCAGGCTGGTCTTGAACTCCCGACCTCAGGTGATCCGCCCCCCTCGACCTCCCAAAGTGCTGGGATTACAGGCATGAGCCACCGAGCCTGGCCGGGGTGTTTGCAATAATTTTTTATGAAGCAATGACAACCCAGAATTACAGTAGCACAGGTACACTCATGTAAGCAAAGTGATGCATACTGTGCTGGAACGTAATTCTGATTACTAATTTAGCATTTCAGAAGAATAACTGATCAATAAGGACCAGGCACAGTGGCTCATGCCTGTAATCCCAGAACTTTGGGAGGCCAAAGAGGTAGGATCACTTGAGCCAAGTTCAAAGTCAGTCTGGGCAATGTAGTGAAGCCCTGTCTCTACAAAAAAATAAACAAATTAGCCGGGTGTGGTGGTGTGTGCCTGTGGTCCCAGCTACTCAGGAGGCTGAGGTGGGAGAATCACTTGAGCCTGGGAGGTTGAGGCTGCAGTGAGCCATGATTGCACGGCCCAAACTTTTGTGCACATTAGTAGATAATATAGTAGATGGGCAACAGAGTGAGACCCTGTATTTTAAAAAAAAGAAAGATAAATGAGGGATAGAACATTGAGGATGGAGAAAATACTGTTCCCCTACCAGGCTTTCTCTTTTGAGGGGACAACCACTAGAATGAAAGATCCTTATATTAGTGTTTGTACAATGCAAAATTGGGTGCAGCTAATAAATGCACACAGTGACCTATTAACTAGAATTTCACTTTGTCCACCTTTGTTTTCATTTCACTCAGACAAAAACTAGAATATCTGGGATAAGTTAGCACCCTTTTCCAGAAAGGTTGTCCATGAGGCTAGAACACAGTCTGAGCTACCACAATAGTTAGGGGAGAGTTTGTCTCAGAGGGGGAAATTTGAACCCTTTCTCTATGGGTTTTCTGGGGACAACTTTGTATCTACTGGCTGCTCCCTTAGATTTTTGCATGAATTGATTTGTTTGTTAATATTATCTACTAATGTGCACAAAGTTTGGGCCCCAGTAATCTCTGAGTGACAACCAGGCTGAAGTTCATGCATAGGCAGAGACAGACCGACCTACCGACCGACCGACCGACCGACCTACCTTCCTTCCTTCCTTCCTTCCTTCCTTCCTTCCTTCCTTCCTTTCTTCCTTTCTCTCCTCCTCCTCCTCCTTCTTCCTTTCTTTTCTTTCTTTTCCTTTCTTTCCTCTCTCTTTCTTTCTTTTTCTTTCTGTTTTTCTTTCTTTTATAGAGATGGGGTTTCACCATGTTGGCCAGGCTGGTCTCAAACTCCTGGGCTCAAGCAATCCTCCCGTCTCAGCATCCTAAAGAGCTGGGATCACAGGTGCGTGGCACCATATCAAGCTAATTTTTAAACTTTTATTTCTTGTAGAGACTAGGTCTACCTATGTTGCCCAGGCTGGTCTCGAACTCCTGGCCACAAGTGATCCCCCCAACTCACCATTCCAAAGAGCTGGGATTACAGGCACGAGCCACTGCACCCATCTTGGTCTTACAACTTTCATACCATCAATCTCTAATGACTCCTCAACCTATGTCTCCAGCCTGTACCTTTTCTAACTTCAGATTTAAATATCTAACTCTCTATTTAACCTATCCACTTGGATGTCTAATAGACATCTCAAACGTAAAACGTCCAAAGCTCTGCTTCTGATCTTGACCCACAAACCTCCTCCTCCTGTTGTCTTCCTCATCTCAGTGAGTAGCAATTCTGAAGTAGTTACTTAGGTCACTAAGTTTGGAGTCATCTTTAAATATTCTCTCATTCATCCCAATCTAATCCTGTTGGCTGTTCTTTCAAAATAATATCTGGGACCTAACCTCTCACCCCTTAACCCTCACGCCTGGATTAATGCAGTCGCCCCCTAATTGGTCTCCCTGTGTTTGCCTTTTTGTCCCTTCTTCTCTCACTCCAGTCCACTTTCAACACAGCAGGCAGAGATATCTTTTTTAAATGGATGACAGCCTGGGTGCCGTGGCTCACGCCTGTAATCCCAGCACTTTTGGAGGCCGAGGCAGGTGGATCACCTGAGGCCAGGAGTTTGAGACCAGCCTGGCCAACATGGTGAAACCCCGTTTCTACAAAAAATACAAAAGTTAGCCGGGCATGGTGGCACACGCCTATAATCCCAGCTACTCAGGAGGCTGGGTGGGAAAAATTGCTTGAACCTGGGAGGTGGAGGTTGCAGTGAGCCGAGATCACACTACTGCACTCCAGGCTCAGCAACAGAGCAAGATTTCATCTAAATAAATAAATAAATAAATAAATAAATAAGACAGATCTCTTCTCCATTCCAAAACCTGTGACAGTTTCTGATTTTGCGAGCAAGAGCCAAAGTCTTTAAGGAGGATTTGACCCCATCCCCTACTCTCACTGTTCCAGGAACATTTGCTTCCTTGCTGGCTCTTACACCTGGCAGAAGTGCTCTTGCCTCATTCCTCGGACAATCGTCCCTTGGATATCCACAAGGTCTGCTCCATTATTTCCTTCCAATTTTGGCTTATATATCACCCTTTCTGCTTCTCTCTGACCATTCTATTTTTATTTATTTATTTTTATTTTACTTTAATTTTTTTTGTTTGTTTTGAGACAGGGTCTTGCTCTGTCATCCAGGTTGGAGTGCAGTGGTGGATCATGGCCCACTGGAGCCTCGACCTCCTGGGCTCAGGCAATCCTCCCATCTCAGCCTCCCACGCATCTAGGACTACAGGCACATGCCACCATACCCAGCTAAATTTTGTGGTTTTTAAAAATTTGTTTTTGTAGAGACAGACTCTTGCTTTGTTTCCCAGGCTGGTCTCAAACTCCTGGACTCAAGCAGTCCTCCCCCTTGGCCTCCCAAAGTGTTGGCATTACAAGTATGAGCCACCATGCCCAGCCCCATTCTAGTTTTAAATTACAATCTTCATCTCAGCACTTCTTGCCTCCTTCCTGGGCATTTTTTTTCTGTTGAACAACTGATGTACTATTATACTTATTTTGTCTCTCTTTTCCTACTAGAAAGTAAATTCCACGAGAGCAGGAACTTTTACTTTGCTCAATTCTGTATCTTCAGCGCCTAGAACAATGCTTGCCACAGAGTAGGCACAGTGGATTTGTTAGAGTAAATGAATGTCTGAATTCTTATTTATCTTTCAAGATTCACATTCCCCAGGCTTCCTGCCCTCCTCCCACTCCTTCAATCTGGACTAATACCTCTCCCTACTCTAAGTTCCCATAACATCCTGTATTGTAGTACTTTCCAGAGATTTTTCTTTTTGTTATTTCATTTTTTAAAGACAGAGTCTTGCTCTGTCACCCAGGCTGGAGTGCACTGGCATGATCATAGCTCACTGCAGCCTCAAACTCCTGGATTCAAGTGCTCTTCCCACTTTAGCCTCCCAAGTAGCTGGGACTGAAGGCACACACCACTACACCCAGCTAATTAAAATTATTTTTCGTAGGGACAGGGTCTTGCAATGTTGCCCAGGCTGTTCTTGAACTCCTGCCCTCAATCAATCCTCTTGCCTCAGCCTCCCAAAGTGCTAGGATTACATATGGGAGTGTAATTTCTGGCCAGCCACTGTACCTGGCTAAGCAACTTTGAAAAAAAAAAAAAATTTGTATTCCTCAGGATTTAGCACACAAAAAGTGCTTTATGAATATTAAAATGAAGTTTTCGCAGCAATTATACTCAATTGTTAGGGTAGTGGGAAGATGTTAAATAGGCATGAGTGAGGGGCTTGCCAACTTCCTCTTTCTTACATGAATTTCCTTCCTCTTTCTAAGAAACCCACATTTGATTCTCTTTGCTTCCCTCCCACCAGAACACCAGTGACTACACAGAGTTGCCAAAATACCTTTTTTTTTTTTGACGCAAGATCTCACTCTGTTGCCCAGGCTTGAGTGCAGTGACGCAGTCATAGCTCACTGTAGCCTCTACCTCTCAGGCTCAAGTGATCCTCCCACCTCAGGTTCCTGAGTAGCTGAGACTACACAGGCACACCACTGTGCCCAGGTAATTTTTAAGATTTTTTTTAGATGGCTATTTAATTTTTATTTTTGTAGAGACAGAGTCTCTCTATGTTGCCCAGGCTGGTCTCAAACTCCTTGGCCCAAACAATCCTCCTGCCTTGGCCTCCCAAAGTGCTGGGATTACAGACATGAAACACCTTGCCTGGCCTGCCAAAACAATTTTAACCAAATGTTATTTTATAGCTTTCAAATCCGTTTGGAAGAAAATATTGGGATTTTTAAAGATGTTAATTGTTGAGTTACTACCACCATGCAAAAACGTTTTATCTTCACCTAGAATCATAAATCACATGGTGCATTTCCTAGCTCCTTTTAAGACTCTAATGATTAACCCCATTCTCACTCCCACTGTAAAACTCTGAAAATTTGAGTTTTCAAATTATACCACAATTGCTAACTATTAAATACCTATAGGTAGGCAGGCCCATCTCTGTCTCAGGATTTTTTTGAGTATCAGGATAATAGTTATTGAACAAAAGGAGGCCTGGGGTCCAAAATGGAGGACAATTGGAAAAACAACAGACCAGTATTTCAGCAAAAGGTGCAAAACAGAATGGAAGCACTGTACTAACAGGCAGTGTGGTGGCTATGCATGGTGGCTCATCCCAGCACTTTGGGAGGCCCAGCCAGGAGGATCGCTTGAGTCCAGGAGTTTGAGACCAGCCTGGGCAACAAAACGACACCCTGTCTCTACAAAAAATTAAAAAATTAGCCAGGTGTGGTGGTGTGCACCTGTAGTTCCAGC